GTAACTCCAGGCCATGCTCCTGTGTTCTGTGAGATTTCAAAGCTCCTTGTCAACCACATTACAACTCCATTTCCCTCTGATCTCCCTGAATACCATGAACAAACCTGTGAACCTTTACCACCGACAGCCATTCTCAGAAACTAGGTGTGATGGGATTTGGAAGCTATTTAGGTAGTTAGACTTGGGACATGACACTCATCTTGTTTCCTTTGTCTGTCCCTCTCTGTTTTTCTTTCCTCCTCTCTTCCCATTAACTATTCTCTGGAGGAATCTCCATTACTGAGCATTTTGCTTTCTCTTCCTCCTTGTCTTGTTTCATGTATGGAGAGGGTGGTTGAATGTGCCGGTAGGAGACAGGACAGAGTTAACCACTCCCATACTTACTGTCGAGAGCCTCAGGAGAACTTGTGACTTTCATTGCTGCTACAAACAGGCCTGGTTACTGGATCCAGTAACAGGTGTCTACAAAGGGGTCTGATATCCAAGGAGTGTTCTCCAAGGACAGGCATGGAAAAGTCTCTATTGGCTACGGATCAGGCTTGAGAAAAGGCTGCATTCCTTTTTTTTTCAATTGGAATCGCCATGTCATGGGTCCCATGAGTGACACTTAAAGGTAAGGCATGGCTGGAACAGTTCTGGAAAATCTAGAGCTTAGCCAATGCTGGTTTCATCCTTGAGACCCCTCAGCGCAGCCTGCAGTGAGCTCCCAAGGGAAATGATGGGCACCTCTTTACCACCATGAGCAGCAATGAGGGTTTGGACAGAGTTGTTTTGGGGCACCCACATGGGGTTTCCCTGTAGAGAACCTAGGAAATCTGAACCGGTTAGAAGAATCGTAAAGTGTTCTGATTCCTAGGAATCTTTAAGCCTTTCTTTCTCAGCACCCAGAGGCTTCAGAAATAGACGATATCTTTTACTAAATAGGACCATTTGATGCTTCACACTGACTCATGTGCCCAAGACTTTTAAAAATACAAGAGAGTGTGCATGATCCCCACCCCTAGGAGAACATAACCTGTGTTCTGGCTTTTATACCTGTTTTTTTTTTTTTTTTTTTTTTTTTTTTTTTTTTTTTTTTTTCCTCACTGGGTAAGATACATCTTCAAGTGACCTACTGAGAACAGAAGCTATCTGTTGCTAGGTGACAGAGATGCGGTCAGGTTAGGGTAGCAGCTGAAATGACTGTTTCCAAGAACCCATGACTTTTTGTTTGTGTGTGACTTTTTTTCTGCTGATTGCCCAGAGAACTGAGCATAGCCAGATCAGGTCAAGGTTAACCTGTCCTATGGTACAAAGCACTTTCTTCCCAGCGAGCATGAAATGGACATAGGGTATAATTACGGCTTGTGTTCTACAGCTTCTTCCTTTTCATCAGCTTTGCTTTTTTGTTGATAGAACCAACTTCTGTACATCCCCATTTTCAAAAGCGCATATTATCTTCCACCGGACAGGGGGAGGCGGACAGGAGACTAATGGTCTCAAGAGCTACCATAATTCAGCATTACTTGGACGTCTTAGTAATTTCTTTGGCAACAAATATCTTAATTACAGTGTTCTCTGTCCACACGGGGAGGATGCTGAGTGCTTTTGGATTGCTTCTCGAAACGTTAACTCAGAGGGAGACGTGTGCTTAGCGGTGAGGTGGATGAGCACAAAATATGAAAACCCAGAAGAAGGGTATTTTTAAAATGGACGTCATGAACCACCATTTCTTTGAGCATCGCCAAAGTCAGTGCTTAGAGGAACTGACAGCATGTCTGCTCTTCATTCAGTTATGACTTACTATCTATTATGTGGGAAATCCCTTGCTAAGTGCCAGAGTTGTCATGAGGTAATGCGATCCGGTCGCTTTGACCACAAACAGCACCCCACCTAGTGAGCTAAGACTAAAATATACACGAGGGTGCTGCAACCGGTCGGCCACAACCATTTCGTTCCATGAGGTCATTCTGTCAGCAGTGGCCACATGGGCTGGCAGCTTGGGTGAGAAGGGTTGCGTGCTCATGAGGTAGAGCTAGATGTCAAATTTCCATTTTCTTCTAATATGTCTTAATGGCATCCAAAAACCTCCCTACTAAGTTATTGCATGGTTTTAATTATTTCGTCATGACTTGCTGTCATGGTTAAAAGTTTTCATTTTTGCTTTGTAGCATTTTTGCTGTCTTCTAAAATGAGTTTGTTTTCTACATTTTTGCTCAAACAAACTTAAAATTTACTGAATTATTTTGTAAGTCCTACTCAGTTATGTATGGATATTTTCCTATGCAAAACTTATGCCTCAAAGACCATATCCTCTCCCTTTCACACAAGCTGTTGTAGTCTTTTCCCCACTGTGGTGGTTTGAATAGGGATGACCACCATAGCCTCATGTGTTTGAAAGGATGGCCCTTAGGAGTGACATATTGGGAGATATGGTCCTTTTGGCGTAGGTGTGGCTTTGTTGGTAGCTCCACTTTATTTGTTGGAGTACAAACAAGATATAACCACACAATCCTGTTGACCCTGAAGTGCTGGGTACCTGGGATTAGATGTTTCATTGTACTCTGTGGCATATTAGTCAAGCTCTCTCTGTATCCATTTTTCCCTCAGAACTTCTTTTTTATTATCAATAACAATTTTTATCTTCCTCATTTGCAAGTTATATTCATTTCTACTTTTATTATTTTTTTCCTAGCAATTATAGCAAGGTTACTTCTAAAACAGTTCAATCCTTTTATCCTCTCTGCTAACGAAGATCTTTATAACATTTGAACTCGTATTAATCTTGCTTTTATGATTAGTGTAGCTTCCCAAAATACATCTAAACTTTTACACTGCAGATTTCTGTTGGATTTATGCTTAGATTCCATTTTCCTGGCTTTTATTTTCCTTTTAATGGACACATTCTTCTCTCTCTGACCTATAGGCTTAGGAATATCTTTTAGGTTACTATTGTAAGGACTCAATAGTTTTGCTGTGTGAAAGATTTAACTGAGGTTTTATCTTTCAAGATATCTTCAATGGGTACAGCTTTTTTTTTTTTAATGTCCCCTCCCATACTCCTCATCCTTATTGAAGGTGTTGATTGTTTGGCTTAACTGTCACTGTGAAGATGTCAGCTGTTATCCTCACACCTTTAAAGGAACCCCCATGTCTAGGTTACCCCACATCACACAGTGCACGCACGCACATATGGAAAGGGGGGGCTATTTCCCTGGATACTGTTATGGTTTCTGTCTTAAGCTTGTCTTCCTCTGCTCTGTCTCTCCCAGAATCAAACACAGGGTTTTCGGGTTAGTCTTATTTTTCTGCTTAAAATGACAAAACAGACTTGGAGAACTGAGAGGGGTGTCCCCGGGGGTGAGGACTAGAAGAGGAGGACAACAGAGACTCCGCATCAGGGCCAGGCGCTGAGAGAACAGACAATGTGTCAGAAGCAAAGTGCAGAGCTGGGGGCGGGGGAGGGACACACCGTGGAGAGTCAGAAGCTGTACAGAGTTTTATGTAAATTAGTTTCTTAAAAATGTCTCCAGTTGCCAGCACAAGTCTTAAAACAGAGAGCTCAATAGCAGGGATTTCTAACATTAACTCTTGTCATCTGTAACTGCAGAGAGGGAGAGAGGCTCTGAAATAATGAGCCTGAACCATGAGATCACAATTGCTGTGTGGAAATTTTCTGAAATTAGAACAGAGTGTTGAGCTTCAGTTTCTTTGCAGGATTTGAACACATTGTGAAATTTACTGTGAAAAGGAGATCAAACAAATCAAGTCAGATTTTTTTTTCCTTCCTGAATGGGATGTAATATATGAAATAGTCACCTTAAAACTTTAAGAATTATTAATCTCCTCGAAGCCTTCTAAGAATGTGAATAATGGAAAGCGAGTTACATTCCAGCGGCTTAACTCCCCGCTAATTAATGACACTTGCAGGCATGGACGTGGGTGAAGTATAGCACCCATCGATTTCCAGGATGGAGGCAAGGCAGTGGAAGAGCCTCCCCAAGGAGCGATTTCAATATATCGATGCCTGCGATGTGTCCGGCGCTCTTTACTGGAGCGGATGCATCCCCGCTTCTCCTATTAGAATTCTGACACGCCGTATTTGTCTGTACTCTGCTGACGAACTGCTGCCATGGTCTGAACGTCGTCCCCTCTGCAATTCCGGTGTTAGGGATGGGAGTTTTGAGGGGGCGTGGGGTTCTTAGAGGTGACTGAGTCACGAGGGCTCCTTCCTTACAGACGGCTCACACGCTCTTCTGAGAGAACTTGGCAGGAGTTTAACCCTTGACCTTGCTTGTGGAAGGGCCCAGCCTCCCTAGCTCAGCAGAACTCCAAGAGCCACCACCCCAGTCCTGGACTCTCAGCCTCCACCAAGATCAGAAACACGCTCTTGTTCTTTACAGATAATGTTGTTTTAGCCGCCCAAGTGGACAAAGACAATTGGCTTATTTCTCAGAGCAGGAAGGAGGTTCACTGAGCTTTTAGAGCCTGTCATGTTTCCTCCCGCCGACTCTCTGTAAGTCTTTATTCTCCTGTCTCCCGCCAGAGTCTGAGATGAAAGCACACAGAAAGCTCAGGACTCACGTCGACCTCATTTCCTGGCTTTGGGGAGCACCTGTGTGGCCATTTTAGTCTTCCAACCAGAGGCCCTTTCTCCACACTCTTCCTAGGTCAGCTGATTCCGCCCCAAATGGCAACAGCTGTGAGAAAGGCACCAACCCCAGAACTCAGAACTGAGCTAAAAAGGAGACTGTGTGCCAACTACAGTCCACCAGGCAGGAAATGATAAGCCTTATGGGAAAAAGTGTGTCAACAGTGTGAGCCGCCCTCCCCACTCTGGGCTAGCAGAAGGATACACATATATACATACTCTCTCTCTATTTGTATGTGTATATGTATGTATATGATGTGTGTGTGTATATGTGTGTATGTACAAGTATATGATGTCTCTCTCTCTCTCTCTCTCTCTCTCTCTCTCTCTCTCTCTCTCTCTCTCTCTCTCACCACAAGCCTAACTTATCTGGCTGCTTTTGTAGTCAGACATTTCATCCACATGGGAACAATATCAGTCTGCTTGACACTTTTTTGGATGAAAAGAAACAACCCATTTGGTGTTAGGCATTCAGGAGCTCCCCTTGAAAGTTATAATGATGGTTGCCCTGTCCGAAACCCATAGCAGACTCAGAAGATTTGCAGGACTGAGGCAGCAAGAGCCCACGATCCTCTTATTCGTAGCCTTTGGTTGCATAAAGGGTCCTAAGTATGGTTTCTCTAACGTCTAGAAAATGACTTGACTCTCATCTGTCTGAGTTGTTGGCTGTTATGATTTCAACATGAAATCCACCTCACAAAGGCTCATAGTTGGTCCCCAGTTGGTGGTACTTTTCGGAAGGTTTGGGACCTTTAGGAGGTGAAGTACATCGCTGGGAGTGAACCTTGAAGGCATACAGTCTGGCCCCATTTTTCCGCTCTCTCTTTGCGCCCTATGTATGGTGGAAAAGTGCTCATTCTGATGACCAAGATGGTCTCATGTTCCTCCTGCCATGGCTTCCCCAATATGATGGCTCCCTTTGGACTTGTTAGCTAAAAGAAACCCCTTTCTCATCTAAGTTTCTTCTTGTTGAGGCCTCCTATGACAGCAACAGAAGAGCAGCTAATACCCTACGGGAGTGAAATGAGTGTGTTGCTCCCATTTGCTGTACAGAGAGCTTCTTTGATCAGGGGTGGGAGCTACACTGGCCTGTGCTTACAAGAAGAAGGCTTAGGATGTAGTAAAGAATTACGCTGGTCTGGCAATGTGGTGGTAAGTAGATTCTCTTCTAAGACTTATGATGTCCCTAACCGCAGGTAACTGACTAGGTTTCTAGTACCCAGCATGGTTTCCTCCTGTGTGTGTGTCTTGAAGCTTCTTTCAAGGGAAAGTAAGTATCTTGGTTCGCAGCTGATCTCAGAGGAGCACAGGTAGAGCCAAATCCCGCGACTCAGAGTCTTCTAAGCTGAGGAGTTGCTTGTTCAGTGACAGATTTTGATAGAATCGCATTCCTTTGGCTTCATCTTAGCTCTGTTGAGCCAAGGTTCTGCAAAACAAGTATCTGCTTTGTTACTTGTTCCCTGCTGGGTTATTTCTCTGGGGGGCGCTAGTGAGACACTGACAGGCTGCTGGACAAAGGAAGGTTTGGCCTTGGCTTTCCTTTTTAAAGTTGTTACCCCTCCACCAATTCAGAGCCTGCTGTTTCCAGTCTCCTCCAACGAGCACCCGTGCAGGCACCAAGCGACAGCACCTGGCCTCAGAGACTTGTGTGTCCCTTCAAAGTCCTAGGCCTAAGCTCTCCGTCTCACCTACCTCTGTGAAGGTGGAAAGTCAGCTCCTCCTCTGGTTCTGGAGGAGACTTCAGAAGGAACAATCCCTGTCCACGAAGATGCAACCTGAAAGAGAGGAAATGCCTGTTGTTTAAATGCCTGTTGTTTTAAAGTACTGTTATTCTAGCTGGGCGTGGCGGCTTATGCCTTTAGTCCCAGTGCTCCAGAGGCTGAGGCAGATGAATTGCTGAGTTTGACACCAACCTGATCTACAGAGTGAGTTTCAAGATATTCATGACTACAGAGAAACCTTGTTTCCGGTGGGGGCAGAAAGAAAAGAAAGAAAGAAAAATTAAAAAAATTAGAAATGCTATTAACCGTTGTTATACTAATCTAACATATATTGGAGAAACACCTCACAGAGTGATTGTGACAGAGCAGGGCACCCTGTCTGGGACCTGACATGTAGAAACTCAGTGTAAAACGGAGCAATTCTCGCCGCTGTTTCTACTGTTACGGCTGCGCCCTGTGTGGTCCTTAATTCAGCTGTTGGCGAGTCTCCAACAGCAGGAACGAGTAGCAAGGGTCATCAGGTGGTTGCTCCTTAATTTTCTGCAAGCCAATGGACCTCTGCCAAATCCATAGCACCCAGCTCCATTTCAGTGGGGTGCGGGGAGGAGCTGTGACGGTGGACGGCCTAGCTGACATTCCTCTTCTGCGCAGATCTGCTTTCCTGGTCCTCCAGTGGTGGTCTCAGCTGAGCGTGCCTGCACAGCTCTGTCTAGCGTCAAGGCCCCAGTGTATCTGCTCTCTGTGGCTTTCGGGTCCCCGACAAGCTTTGCACTTGAGTTTTACAGGCATAGTTTGCCTATGTATTGGGTCAGTGTGAGAGACAATGGACTCTATACAGTTCTGGTTTTAAGTGATTACGGGTTCATCTAAAAATAATTCAGCTCATTTAGATCATCAGTATGCGAAGATCGTTGACTTCTGTCACACTGGCTCCCGTAATGGAAGCACTGCAATTTCTACTTAATAAACATAGTGGGTCCTTAGGCTGTGGTTTCTGCCTTATTAAGTGTTATAGTTCCCACGTGTAAACCTGCCTGGGGAATGTCCAATAAGAAGACATTATTCATCAATATAAGACTCTGTGACCCAAGGTCTCTTGATTCGCCTCATTTGTAAAAAAGAAAAGATGATATTCTATCTACCTGGACTCATGGAGTCCTTTGTCAATAATGGAAGAAATTCTATTCTAGATACAAATAATGACTCTGTTCCTTCGTTTGCTCTGTTTTAAAGAGGCATTAAAAGTAATTTGTGATGCGAACAAGGATTTGAGCGGCTTAGAGCTCCAGCTTGGCTTCCTAATGAAACGACTGCTCTCTCCAGCACATCCTGTGCTCATTTACATGGCGATTCACAGGTACAATACCAGCGCTTAGCTGTGCAGTCAGTACCGCAATTGGCGCCCTTCAGGAAGGCTCGTGGGTGTTTGCTCCTCACCGTGCAGAGGGGCTATTGAGTGAAAGCCACAGGATGACCCAATTGTCTTAGCCTGGGGAAAGAAAGGGAACCTCGAATGTTCTTGTGTGGTGAGTTAGAGATGGGTAAGCATCAGGAGTATGGCCCCTGACTTGTTTAGTAAAATGCATTTTATAATATTAGCCTAGAGCGATTCCAGGGAAATGGTTTCATTTTAAATAAACATTAACTGACGAGCTATTTTATGATGAAATACGTGAGTTCGGTGGTGCTCCTAGATGACCCTGTGTTTTATCCGCCATGGCAGCACCTATGCGTTTAAAAGGATATGGCATGAGGGGAGTGGAGCAGGCCCTGAGTGTTTGAAGTCCTCAGTGAAAGTGGACTGACATGGGCACCACGGAGTCAGGGTTCCAATGCCTCCACTCCACGGAAATGACAAAGTGTCCCCCATGTGCTGCTGAGAGGGTTGGCAAAGCCTTCCTTTGGTCCCTGTGTGGATGGCGACAGCGAAAGACCTCTGGAGGTGGGGAGACTCTCACTCAAGTCTCGGGATAACACCCCCCCCCAAGAACTCACTAGAGACTGTCCTTGCTGCAATCACAGGAGGCTTATTGGCAGGAACCAGTGCGCTGGGGCGAAACTCATTTGCCAAGCAGGGGTAGAGGAGTTCGACCCCGAGTATCTGGGAGGGGGGTATTTAGGAGAAGAAACCACAACCCAAAGGGGGTAGGGAGGGCATCATTAGAAAATTTCGAAAATACCAGTGATAATCACAAGGGGGTAACTCCCCATTTCTCAAGATTATTCTCAAGATTATAATCTAACTTTATGGTCAGCTAGTTCCTGGAACAGAGTCACTGAACCAGTTAACATAGATTTTTGGTTTTACTCTTCCTGGTCCTCAACAGTATGCAGAAGTTGCCCAGCTTCCCCTCCCCCCAGATGTTTAGGACTGAAAGACAGCTTCCCTACAGACACTGCTCCTACGGAGGTTTGGCCAAATCCATCGCCTTATTTATCTGTTTGCAATAACCCTGCCTTCCTGTTCTGATGTGTGTAATAAACACACTGAGCTTCTAAGACACCGAGACTTCTCTATGGGAGAGCCCAGACCACCCTACCCCAGCTTTCCTGTATGTGTGTCTATTTGTCTGTCCTTTCCTCTTTCCTTTGTTACCACCAGAGTGAATTCTGGGCCCTAAGTGATGCCAGGACATGGCAGTATGTGTGTTACACATTTGCATGTGTGTTTGTATAACTTTTACAACCCCTCCCCATCATAATCCATAGTTGTTGTGGGTTCTTCTGCACTGTCTGGGGTTCAGATGCCCAGAGTTGGTAGATAAGAAAGGAGAGGCTAGATCTATGTGCAGGGTCTTCCACTGTTTGGCTGTGTGACCTTGGAGGTGTCAACATCTCTTGCAGCTTCCTCTACAAAATTGTGTGGTTTCAGGTCTGTTAATGCCTGTGTACCCATGACTTTCTTATGTCCTTGGCCTCTTGTATACAAAGGTCACTTGTGTCTGCTGTTGGATTAAATGCTAAGCTCATCTCCACTCTAAACAGCCAATGCACGAAGCAGCAGGAATCCGGAGCTCCCATAGCATTAAATTAGCCCAGGAGGCCGCTGTCCATTTGGCAGTAATGGCCAGGACGCAGATCCCAGAGGACCCTCAGCTCACATTTGCTAAGCTAGGCATGGCTGGTGGCCATTGACAAGCTCGTTAATCATCTGTCCCATGCCTGCTCTTTTCAGACCTCCTTCGGGACAGACTGTATTCTTCTCTTGTTCCTCTGCTGCTGCAAGTGCGTAAGTAATCATAAAAATGAATTTTTATTGCCCTCATTTGAGCCCAGGAGTGACATTTTTCCAGGTTGCAAAGGAGGGTCACATGATTCTGTTGGGCTTCATTTCCTGGCGAGAGGCAGTGGGTCTTTTATGAGGAAGCAGCAGTTGAGAAAGGCGGAAAATCATAAGACAGAATTAACCTCACTGTTCAGTCACAGGAATGCCTGCATTGCATATTCAGGAAAAAAATTTCGCAGGGTTCAACAATAATGTAGAAGCTTCTTAAAATATACACCTATATGAAAGAAATGTAAATGAAGCCACCAAATAATGGGGGTGACAATACTAGACTTTTTGGGGGGTTTTCTGACACCAAGTGACCCAAATGGGTTACATATAGTTAAATAATTGGCCAAAGGGGCTTTTTGGAAACTTTCAGATAATCCAGACTGTTGCCAAAACCCTTGGTTGTTTCCTCAAAACTGGTCATAAGGTCCTACTGCTGAAGACAATACCTACACATCTCATTAAACCCAGGAAAGACAAGCTGGTGCCTACATAGGGACTTCACACCCACTGACAAATGTTTACGTACTGGAAGTTACTGTGGACACTACTAGAGGAGAAAGACAACAGCAACCCAGCTACAAAGCCTGAGATCCACAGTGATGGCCTGCCTGTGAGATACACAGGTGCCATAGTGGCATGAAGCCATCAGAGTAACCAACCACTATTTGATTGGATTAAAGACCCTCGCCAAGAGATGGAACCCATGCCTGGCATCGCTTGAGTGGCCAAAAACCTGAGACTGGCTAGGTCATGGATCAGGGGAAACCCAAGTGCTATTGTCCTGTTAAAGTGGCAAGAAAATGACCCCTACTGACATTCTGCTGCACCCATAGATCAGAGCCTCTCTCAGCCATCACCAGAGAAGCTTCGTCTTGTATCCAGAATGTCTTCTTGATAAGACATTCCTAGGCTTGCTTCTTCTCAAGCCTTCTCAAACTCCTTTGCCATGTAGCTAACTTATGAAAAATTTTAATCATATACTGTCTTTTTTAACTACATAAATCATTTCCACTGAAGCGTTTTAAACGGGAACTTTATATTCTACTGATGATTTCATGTACTGATAGCTTACTATACCCATGAAATTTACCTTCTCTCATTAATAATCATTGGTTTGGGCCATTATTTCCATCAAGTTCAGTCTTAGAAGTCTAATTTAATGGAAAAGTGTAGAATACTTTGCAAATTATTCATAGACAAGCTGCATCCATGTGCAAGTTTTTGCTACTGATAATTTTTCTTACAAAATAATAAAAGAGCAATGATTTAAAGTAGGATGAAATTAATTTTGTGAGGACATTTTAAAACTTAAATCAAAGAAAATTATTAGCATTTCCTTTCATATATGACACAATTTTATTATTAACTAGATTTATATCCTTTTTTTTTACTATAGTCCATCATACTCTTTTAACTATATCTGGAAAAGGAAACAAAATATACAATATCATTTCAAGCTTTGGAGAAATAAATCTAACACAATGAATGCAAGAACTATGTAACAAAATATTCCCCAAAGCTAGCTACAAAGCATTAAGAAAGATCTCATAGAAAGAGATGAAACTAGGCACATAGAGTAAGGGATCCAGTGGTCAGGATAGTACCTCCTTGTACATGTTTTATAAAATGTGTATACAAAGTTTTGACAGGATCCCCAGGAGCAGAGGCTCACACCTTAACTCCAGCTCCTGGAGGGTAAGGCAAGATTGCTGTAGTTCAAATGCAACTTCAGCTACATGTGGATTCCAGGGCGATGGGAGCCACACAGTGAGATTCC